GCTAGGGTATATGAACATCAAATCAAGTTAACGACTGAGCGTCCTAGAGTTTGCCATAATTATCCGATTCCATTTCTTTTACGGGATCCGACGAGAAAAGCAATAAAAACTATGATAAAGGATGGCGTTATAGAGAGGAGAGTGAATCAATATTGTAATCCATTAAGAATTGTAAAAAAAGAAGATAATAGCGTTAGGGTTTGTTTGGATGCCAGATTTTTTAATAAAGTCATAGAAGACAATCAAGAATCACCACCATTAATAAACGAATTAATACAAAAGTATTATAGGGTACAATGGTTTTCTAAAATTGATTTAACACATGGATATTGGCAGGTGTCATTAGAAAAATCCTCCCGACCATTAACTGCATTCGAGTCAAAGACATATTAATTTTGTAGAATTCCGTTCGGGTTAAAGATAGCGGGCAGTGACTTTATGCGTGCTCTTAGTTACGCGTTAAAGAGTGATTTTGATGAGAATATTTCTTGTTATATTGATCATATACTAATTGGGACAAAAACATTTGAGGATTATCTTGTAGTTTTGAATAGATTGTTTCAAAGACTCGTGGATTATAATTTTATGATAAGGTTGTCGAAATGTGTTTTTTTTTTTCAAAAGAAAGTATTATTTCTCGGTTTCGAGGTATTTATAGAAAGTATTTCGCCAGAAAAAAAACTCGAGAATATTATAAATTTTAAGGAATCAAAAAATAAAAAACAACTTCAACAATTTTTAGGGGTTTGTAACTACTATAGACAATTCAATATGAGACACAGTAATTCGGAAAACTCGCTTCGCGAATTATTGAAAAAAGACATAATATGGAAATGGTCTCCAGTCCATTCGATAGCATTTCAAAGATTAAGAGAAGATCTTAATAAAGGAATAACATTGAAGCATATTATCCCGGGTGTGACTTTTAGATTACAAACAGATGCGAGCGACCGGATCGCAGGAATTTTATATCAAATAAGTGAAGAAGGTAATCATAATGTGATAGGTTTAGTTAGCCGATGCTTGTCTCCGGCAGAAATCAAATACACTACGACAGAGAAAGAGCTTTTGGCGATTGTATATTTAGTAGAAAAATTTCGAGTCTACCTGATAGGAATCCACTTTGAAATAGTAACGGATCATCAATGTTTGACATTTGCGCAATCTGCAAGTTTTCAAAGCGGACGAATTACGCGATGGATATTATTATTACTGCAATATTTTTTTTTGGTAGTTTATTGCCGCGGGGTGGACAATATAGTGGCTGATTTTTTCAGTAGAAATCCAAGGGGAGAGTTTACGGAAGAAAGGACAGAACAAATTGTAATCTCGTTGTTGATCAATGTCTCTTGCCCGCACACGATAGAAAAGAGACTTCATTCACAGCGATCTCAATGATTCATTATGACGCGGATTTTGTTCGAAGTTTTAAAATATTGGGCGAATGGCAACGTGATGATTCGAGATTAAAAGGCAGTTTTGATGCATACAATGAGAAGGGAGAGGATAGTAGGTTCGTAGTATATAAGGATGATCTATTTCAACGAGAAGGAAAAAATAGAAATTGGAGAATCGTGATACCCGCAAAAATACAACCATTAATAATAGATGATATACACAATAAATTAGGTCATCCGGGTGTATACAAAATTAGCACGTATTTAAAACAATTTTACTATTAGAGAGACATGTTGGCACAAGTAAAAAAAATACGTTTTATGTTGTGATCTATGTCAAAAAGTAAAGTATTTAACAATTTCAATGGAAGGAGAATATAACTTGAATGAATCAAGTAAACCGAATGATCTTATTACAGTTGATTTTTATGGCCCCCTTCCGACGACAAGAGGAGGAATGCAATATATATTCGTCATGTTAGATGCCTTTACAAAATATGTAAGTTTGTATCCAATGAAAAAGGCGACGGTTTGCATGTGCATAAAAAAATAATGGACGTTTTTATTCCGAAATTTGGAAAACCGAAGCGTATATTATTTGATCATGGTAGTCAATTTACGTCAGCATTATGGAAAAAACAACTGGAAACCGAGGGTATAAAAGTTATAAATGTATTCGCTTTGTGCATGAATGTGGAGGGGATTCGCGAAACGATTCAAGCGTTCATAGTGGCTATTTTGGAAAGTTAGCCTGAATAAGCTGTCAAAACACACTAATCTTTTAATAAATTAGAAAAATGGAAAATAAACAATGAAAAAAAAAGCAAAATTATATTGTTGTGTATTAAATTGCAAAAATAATTCTTGTGATACTCCAGATAAATCATTTTATTGTTTTCCAACATCTAATGTACATTATCCACATAAAGTACAAAGACGTGAAATATGGTTAAGAGCTATAAAAAAATTAAGGTAAATATAATTAATTAGTGACTAAAAATACAAAAATATGCACAAATAAAGCTTATTTATTTATTTTAATAATTTCATTTCCTAGACCCAATGGATCAGATTGGAAGCCACATAATAGGTCGCGCATATGCAGTGACCATTTTATTGGAAATAAAAAGTCAGAAGACCCTCGTAGTCCCAGCTACAATCCCACTATTTTCCCAAGTATTTATAAAAAAAAATATACTTCAGACAATGTTGCTCTTGGGCGATATACGTTTTTTAAAAAGATCATCTAAAGAGTTTGATAAAGAAGATTTGATTAAAAAGAAGAAAAATATTGAATTTAAAAAGGAAGAAGATTGTAATCTTTTAATTCAGCAAGATTCTTTAGAAGAAAATGAAAATAATATTCTTGGATCTCGGACACTTGATCAAGAATGTCAAGTACAAATTATGTGTGAAAAATTAGACTCTGAAAGATCAAGCATGCATGTATTTATATGCAATCGATATATTTATAATGATAGTACAAAGTGTTCTGTAGAAACACAAACATGTTGCCCAGAAGAGCCAAAAATAATATACAATAGAAAAAAAATGGCTGAAAAAAGTTGTGGAAATCAAGTTTCATATGTAGATAAATGTGTTGGAACATCTGGTTTATTAAAATGTGAAAATGGTTTTCATGGTCTAAAAAGTATAAAAACTGATAGAGAAATGCTTGATTTGGCTGGAGTGACGTTAGCAAATTTTTCATTATTGTTAAAAATTATTATTGCAAATGAACAATATAATTATAAAAAAATTAATGAAGAAAATAGATTGCTTATATTTTTGTTTAAAATGAAATGTGGATTAAGTTTTTCAGCCTTAAGTGTGCTATTTAATATAAATAGAACAACAGTAACAAGAATATTTTATTCTGTGCTTCAGCATTTGAGCAGTGCTTGTCAAAATTTTATTACATGGCCTAGTCGACACATCGTAGATGAAACTATGCCCAAATGTTTCAAAGAAAATTATTTTAAATGTAGAGTTATTATTGACTGCACAGAGTTTTTGGTTGAGACACCTTCTTCTATTGAACATCGAGTGTTCTTTTACTCTCAATATAAAAAAGGATACAGATTAAAAATTTTAGTTGGTTGTACTCCATCAGGATTTATTTCTTTTAGATCAAAATGTTTTGGTGGACGTGCAACAGATTCACAAATAACAATAGAATCCGGAATATTAAATTTACTTGAAGAAAATGATCAGATTCTTGCTGACAAAGGATTTCCTCAAGTTAAAAACAAATTGGATGACGAAGGAAAAAATGTTTTACTAGTTATGCCTCCTTTTTTGAAGAATGGAACTTTCTCAGAAGAGGAAGTAGAAGAAACTTATAGAGTAGCTAGTATACGTATTCACATAGAGCGTATAATGCAACGTCTTCGAACTTATCATATTTTAAATAAATTCACCCTAAATATGCTACCATATTGTGACGACATCATTACCATGTGTTGTGTGTTGGTGAATCTGCAACCGCCAATCATAGCAGATCAGGATAACAATTAAATCTCATTAATAAATAATAATAGTAAATTCTTATTAAATTTCATTATTTATATTTTGTTTTATGTGTTAGATTATAATTTATGCATTATATAAATATTAAAATATGAACAAAATTATAACTTAATAATAATTTTTCTCTTACAATTTTAAAAAATTTAATATATAAAATTATTTAGTATTAATATTTTTACTTTAGATTAAAAAATGTAACAATATCAACGCTATTTAAAATTTATAACTTTTAAAAAACAATATTGCTTTAAATAATTTAAACAACAAAAACTTATTATAAATTATTAGTTATGTAAGAATTATATAATGCATTTAAATAATATTGAAAATAAAAATTTTGTATTTTAGGAACCACTTGTTGCAAGAATATTTCATCTCTTAAAACTGTTGCTAAACAGCTATCCTTTCTAGACCATACATATAAATGACACATATGCAGTCCTGTTACATACATTTGAATCTGACATTGAGTATAATACGAATGAGAAGCTTTCAGTTTTATCTCATTATTTTCATTAAAGTATAAATAAGATACATTAAATGTATTTTTTGTTGCATCAAAAATTGGTTTATAACTACAAGATGAAGGACATTTTATTTCTAAATTTTTAAATCATTCGTATCAATTACAATGCCATCAACACTCGCACAAAGCCATGGTTGAAGTGGATTTACAAATAAACCTAATATTTGAACATTTTTATTGTATTTATTAATATAATCACATATAGCTTTTTTTCATTTTTCTTTCCATATTCTAAAGACGCTATTTTGAAATTTTTAGGTTTCAAAAGCTCAATTGCTAGTTCATTTTTATCTTTTTTTTTATTACATTTTATACTATGTGCTTTAGTCGCACTTATTCTTGCACATCTTGCATCAAACCATTCTTTGCATTCACTTTGATCTTTGGTTCTTATGCACAAATGTAATAATTGATCATTTGTAAGTCTCACATTTATATTATAAAAGTCGTCTAACTTAACATCCATCACAATGTTTGTTGTACCATAAATTATATTATGTTTAGTTAAATATATTAATTTTAAAATTGTTTCTTTCATTTGATTAACATTAAAACTTTTTATAACATTGTCTAAAATAACTATTATAATTTGTTTTACAATACTTTCAGTTTCTGTTATATTACTTGCCTGTAAAATTCTTAATAACGCACAATCGCTTTTCACATCTGATATCTGAAGATTAAAAGGAATTATTACTTTATTCTTGTAATATAGCTTTTTCTTGAATTCTCTGGAAACTATTAGTGGCTTGGAGTACATTTCTTTACCAAGTTGATAATCTGAAGGCTTTCCCCATTCTTGATGTATAGATGTTTTTGTTGCACTCCTATCAGAGTTTACATACCATATTAAAGCATAAATATGTTTGCATTTCTTTCCTGCATTTGACACACAATTACAAGAAACAAGAAGCACATGACGATTGTTATCCAACTAAAAAACATTTAATCAGTTATAAAAAATATAAATTAAATTATTAAATATCAATCATGTCAATATTTACCTCTAAACTAACTTTGTAGGGGTGTAAAGTGACACAAGTTTGACGTATGACACTACCTGTTATCAAAATACCAGTGTCATTTGTATTTTTCTTCTACTCTTTGAACATGAGATATAGCTAATTTTTCCCTTTTACGATAGTTTGAGGATGAAAATCAATTGAATGAGTAATTCCTTTAAATCCTGTTCTCAAAATTATATTCATTTTGAACAATTTATCAGTCTAAGAAGAAAAATAAAAAAATTGTTATTGGTTAAGATAATATTTTTCTCAGTTTACAGAGGTTAATATTTAATATATTTTATGAAATAAAAATCATATAGTATTAATAATTAGATTATTATAGTAGTTAAAAGAATTAAAGTAATTAGTAAAATTATATAGTACTTACAATATTTGGATTGTATATGTAATTATTATAGTATATTGAAAACTTTTATTTTAATTCTCCTTATATATTTCATAAATTGTTTCAGTCTAAGTATTATATTTTACCGTTAATCGGCGCCACATGTAATCATGCACAAAGCGAATAGTTCTATAAGACATCCTCAGTCGAATCCTACCGAACGGATGATGCGAGAGTTAGGTCGATTATTTAGGACGTCATGTGCGGAAAAGCACACAAAATGGGTTAACTTTGTCCCAAAAATTGAAAAAATATTAAACATAACAGTTCATCAGAGTACGGAAATATTGCCGTATGAACTACAATATGGTCAGTCAAGATGAAATCCAGAAGCTCGTCCAATTCCCAAGAAATAAAAAACCTTCTCACAAATACCTGATAACGCTGGCAAGAGATAATTTAAAGAAACATTTTCAATATCGCAAGAAACAAGAAAAAGGAGGGCCAAAGATCGAATTATTGGTGAGAGATCAAGTCCTAGTAAGAGTAAAACATCTATCAAATGCCCTAGATAAAGTCGTAGGAAAATTTTTTACTTTATTTGAGGGTCTACACAAAATAATTCGATCGGTGGGAAAAAACGCATTTGCAGTAGCAGATCCGAAAACAGAACAAAAAGAAAAGGGAATATATAATTGTTGCAATCTCCGAAAGTATTATAGCAAAAAAGAAAAATTGTCAATTGCAAATAGATAATTCTCTGTTCAAATTCTCTCTATACGTATAGTAGTTTTTATTTAGTAGATATAATTTCGAATAACTAATCAATGAACGAAAGGTAAATACCTGAATGTTAAGAATAATACGAATATCTATTATCCTGTAAATAAAATCGTGCATAATAATTAAATAGGAAACGTCATAAGAATACCCGGATATTATTAAAGGCGTAGATAATATCAATTTATAAGTAAATGAAAGCGTATATACAGAAAGCGAATACGTTAATACTACAAAAAATTATAAAAATATATTATTAACCTTATAAAACGTGATAAACAAAGAAAACTGTGATGGAACATGCGGATACAGAATGTAAATAATCTCTCGACGAACCATTCATCCAAATAGTATCAAGGTATTCGTTTAGTAGTTAGTATCATTTATGAAAATATCCATTAATATACACGATACACACGATATATACGAAAAAGTAAGGGAAAAAAGCAGTAAAATGTAAGTCGACTCGAAGTACTGGATAGAGACGAGCACAAAATAATTAGCGACGGTTGACCGATTAGAAAACCTTTCGGTAAAATAGATATGCATTGTATCGAACATAATTTTTATGTCACCCACGGTAGGAGTGTGTAACGTAAAAGGGGGGGGGATGTAAGAGACTATAGGTTTGTTCGTTTTACTTACACTTTTACACTCACTAGTGTCACAGATTAATAGACAGATCGCCAAAGGTCTGGATGAAGGAGAGACCAGCATTTCTCACTGATTTCAGCGCCATATCGTAGTAGTGGTCAATGCAGTAACTATTAATACGTTCCCAAGATAAGAGCGTCTAATGCTCATGAACTCGTCCGGCGGCATGTACGAGATTTATCTTTTCGTAGCGTTCGCGTATTTCGGAAAGGACAGAATTTTATGATGTTATAAATAAATAAATAAATAAATAAATAAAATATTAACCTGACCTATTATAATTATTTTTTAATAAATGTTTCATTATTATTATCATCTAAGTCTAAGTCGTTTAATTAATTTTTAGTTTTTTAATAATTAATTTAATTTATTCTAATCATTTTAATATGTGAAAAATACTAATACGTATACGTTTTATAATGAATTAATATATTTCGAGAGTCGAATTATATATTTTTAATAATATAAAAGTGTTCAAAAATTATATTTGACTTTTAATTTTAATTATTTTAGCAAAGAGTTCCGAAATCTCTTACACACATAATAGGGATTTTGTTCATCCATATAATTCGCAATTAAGTATATATGTTAATTATTAATTTTAATAAAATACAAAATTAAAATTAAAGGTCAAATATAATTTTTGAACATAAATATATTTAATTCGTTATAAAACGTATACCCGTGATAGTATTTTTCTCGTACAAAAATAACTAGAACAAATTAAATTACTCATAAAAAAATTAAAAAATAATTAATAATTTATATTATATATGATAATAATAAAACATTTTATAAAAAAAACAGATTCAATAAATATAAGTATATATATAACATGTACTTATATTTATTGAATCTGTTTTTTAATAAAATGTTTTATAAGCTTAGAAAACTTGACTTTGACGTAACTAGCAAATTTTATTTAATTATTTCACGACGGTTTGACGTAATAAAATGTTTTATTATTATTATATAAAATATAAGTTTAAATTCTTTAATTAATTTTTAATCTTTTATGATTAATTTAATTTACTCTAATTATTTTTGTACGAGAAAAATACTATCATGGGTATACGTTTTATAATTAATTTAATATATTTGTGTTTAAAAATTATATTTGACCTTTAATTTTAATTTTTATTTTATTAAAATTAATAATTAACATATATACTTAATTGCGAATTATATGGATGAAAAAAATCCCCATTATGTGTGTAAGAGATTTCGGAACTCTTTGCTATAAAATAATTAAAATTAAAAGTCAAATATAATTTTTGAACACTTTTATATTATTAAGAATATATAATTCGGTTCCCGAAATATATTAATTCATTATAAAACGTATACGTGATATTATTTTTCTCATATAAAAATGACTAGAATAAATTAAATTAATTATTAAAAAACTAAAAAGTAATTAAACGACTTAGACTTAGATGATAATAATAATGAAACATTTTATTAAAAAAAGATTCAATAACTAGTAGGTCAGGTTATAATTTTTTATTTATTTATTTATAACATTATGAGCTATTAAGCTCATCATCTCGTTCGCTCTCTGTCTTGCTTTCATTCGGCAAGTCACAAACGATATATGATACTCGTATGTTCCTACTTCAACTCTCGAGAATCTGAAACAAACGAAACTCGTGTCCAATATACAGGGTGTCCGGTAACTAACAGACCAATGATTACAAATGGATTCTTTGGTCAATTTGGGAACGATTTTTCCTCAGCGAAAATGTCGAAAAAGGTCATCATTTTTTACAACTTTCCAATCTTTGTCATTATGTATCTTTATAACTAAGCCTTAAATTAAAATTTTATTATAGTAAACTCTACCTGAAATTAACTGAAGAATGTAATTATGTTAGACTTTTAACTCCAAAACGTTTAGTTTTCAAAAAACCTATTTTTTTCAATCGCTTATAACTCGAAAATTATTGACTTCTCAACATTTTTGCTAAGGAAAAATCGTCTCCAAATTGGCCAGAGAATCCGCCCTTAATCATTGGTCCGTTAGTTACCGGACACCTTGTATATATTATATAAAAGTGTATAGCACGTCAGAAGCTTGTGAGCTTACAGCGATAAGTAAAAACAATTGCGTATTTATTTCATTGCGTTTATCTGTTTAAACGCGCGCTTTAATTTTTCCAACGTTTTTGCCTGTTTATATTTTAAAGGTCCTCTCTTCTAAAAATCTTGTTTTAAAGATCCTCTCCGCGAGCAAAATTCGAAAACATAAATTATTTAATATTTTTACTTTATTATTTGTAAATCCTCGGTAATTTCAAAATTTTTCTATTTGAAAATTATTAATTTTCTATTGCCAATTAATTTTATCACAGACTTTACTCTTACTCCCATTGCACTTTCGTTTGCGGTTTTCAGTATACGATTTTTTATCGTAGTTACTGAAAATTATTATTGTGAATTATACTTGTGCAGTGATTTGAAGAATTTACAATTTCGTTGAAATTGTTGATTTTTCAAAAAAATTACGAGATTCGCGGAAATTGCGTGCTTTCTTGGCATTTTCCGTTCGCGGCAGGCGGTTTATTTTTGATTGTTGCAAGTGTTTTTGTTTTTTTTTTTATTAAAATAGATAATAATAATGTGAAATAAATCACGATATTTGACAGATGTGCATATATATAGAAATTGTAATAATAATAATATTATATCATAAAATTGTAAATTGTTTCAATTTTTTATAGACTGCGATAAAAGATTTTACATTTGGATAAGAAACTGCGGTAAGTAAAAATATAAAATTCTTGAAAACGTAAAAATATTTGATAACGTAAAAAGGTGAACTTTGAAAAATAAGGAACTTAAAAATTGCACTAATAAATGGGCTATATATATGTGAGCCGTGCGCGGATGTAAGGTGTGTTATATCGAAATTTAATTAATAGAATTGAGAATTAATCCCAATTTTAAGTCTTACAAATGTCCAAGCTAATTTTTTGTACCTCGTGTACATTTTTGAAAGTTATATCGAAAAATTAAATTTCAATATGCGTCTTACATCTCACATTTCGCATACAGCTCACATATAGCCTATTTATCTCTTATACTTTATTTCAACCCTTATAGAAATTTATTACTAGTAACGCCAATTTATCACTTATTTCGAGTAATTAATCACTTTTATTTCGAATACTTAAATTACTGTATATTATAGTATTTTAAATACTCAAAATAAGTGATTAATTGGCGTAGTGATAAATTTCTACAAGAGAATAAGGAGCCTTTAAATTCTTAATGTAAAAAATTTCAAGTAATTTTCTTTAATAAAATTTAATTAAAAAATTTAATTAAAAAATTTTTGAACACTGTGTTATATCACATTTAAAATCGTGATTATTTCAATAAAAAAACATTTTATGTGTAAAAAATATATTTTTTATATTTAATAAATTTTATATATATATGCATATATGTAAAATATCTCTCTCTCTCTCTCTCTCTCTCTCTCTCTCTCTCTCTCTCTCTCACACACACACACACACACACACACAACGGGGGCCAAATCTCTCAAATTGGTCTCATGATCAATTAGCCTGGATTCGCACCAGGGGCAAAGTCTGTTGGTAATGTCAAACGAATTTAGCCTGGACTTGCACCAGGGGCAAAGTCTTTTGGTCGAGTCTACGAAATTTAGCACGGACTCGAACCAGGGGCAAAGTCTTTTGGTTCAAGTCTACGAAATTTAGCACGGACTCGAACCAGGGGCAAAGTGTGTCGGTAAGGGGCAAAGTCTATCGCACGAAGATGGCGGTCTCTTCTTTAGGCAGGCCTTTGGCGATCTGTCTATTAATCTGTGTTTAGGGTAGTGTACACTAAGTACAGAATAAATTTTCAAGTGTAGTGATGATAGCACAAACGCGAAAGTGTGAAATAAAAATGGTGGTTTGCATACACAGCGAAACATAGCCTACAAAAAACAAAGTTATAACCTACGAAAAACAAAGTTAAATAACACGTTCTCTCTACAATGGCAATGGAAGGAATTCGTGAAATTTGTTACATACTAATGGATTTGTTGTATATGGATCGCGAATCGAATAGCGCGCGTCTTCATGAGTATTCGAGGACGCGGCTTATCGATAGTAGATTCAAAATTCCGCCGAGAGAGGAATCGCGATAGAGCCGGGCTCGAGGATCGGTGCGTGGGAGAGCAGATGGCAGAGAGTACCCGAGAACCGAGTGAAGCATATCTCGATTTCCCGGAGGAATAAACTTTTCACGACTCGTAATGAATTGTATCCACATACTAAGACTTTCTATTAAATAAACATATCGTTCTATATTTACAAAAGACATAACAGGATTCTTCCGACGACGATGACGAAAATGAAAACATTCCTGATCCACATTTCATGATCGAGGATGATGGTGAGAGTAAAATTATTAAGCTGCAATAGGATGCCTATTATGGTTCTTTAGGTGAGTTTGCTCACGAGGTGAAAATTATAAAAATGTAAGATTTACTAGATTTCGACAATGAAAGCGTAGACAACCTAGTGAATCTCTCACTTTTGTGATTTTCACCTCGTGAGCAAACTCACCTAAAAAACCGTAATAGGTACCCAGTTCACATAACAAGAGTTTTGCTTATTTACATCATTATGTAATATTAGCTCTTTCAATATAAGTTTACATTAACTACACATGAATAAAAAAATTTTTAATTATGTAAAAAAATCCTTTTTGTGTATATGTTTAAAGTGAGTGAAACTCTTCCTTATATTTTACATTGTTACAATATAACACTTGGGACAAGATACACAATTATTATAGATGCGTACAATGTTTATTACAGATTTCGACATAATTAAAAATTTGATGCAAGTAGTCATACAAGGAATTGTAAGAAGACAACGCATAAAGGTAATGAATTATGTAGAAAATCAGGCAAGAAATTACAACGAAAATGATTTCATCATGCACTTTCGATTGTCACGAGAAGTTGCATACACATTGATTAATCACTTTGAAAGATCTCCAGTATTCATATCTTTAAGAGGTATTTAAAAAAATATTATGTGTAGTCTACAATTGCAGCAGGCAGTACAGAGTACAAAGTAAGCAGTGAGCAATACGAAATGGGATTCACCCATTTCAGCGGAAGTAACAAAATGGATAAATCTCAATTCATACTGCTTATTCTGTACTCTGTACTGCCTGCTGCCATTGTAGACAACGCATTATTTATAAGATATTTTTTAACTGTAGTAACACGTTTTCTTCTATTTCATGTTATTATTAAGGTCCTGCTGTTTTTGAGCCTACGTCACCAGAGAAACACATTTTGTGTTATTTGTGGTTTGTAGGGCACCAAACTGCATCCTACAGAGATGTGGCAGATAGATTTGGTGTTACTTTGAGCACTTTGTACAAAATAATATCCAGAGTAACGACATTCTTAATATCAATTGCACCTAATATTATAAAATTTCCTTCACTGGAAGAAAGAAATCTCACAAAGGAACATTATTTACAAAAAAACGGATTTCCTGGAATCATAGGTAAAACTAGAAAGTCTCTCTCTCCTAGAGGTTCTTTAGATAAAACCAATTATGTAATTGGAAATATATCTTTTGTAATTCTTTAAGTGTTACTTTCAATAATGTTATTCAATTTATCATTCATCTAGGTTCTATTGATGGTTTGCATATTAGAATTGATAAACCTTTATATGACAAAGATTCATATGTAAATAGAAAGCAATACTTCTCAATTCAAATACAAGGTGTGGCAGATCACCGAAAAAAGTTCATTGACGTTTTTATAGGATACCCAGGTTCGGTGCATGACGCCAGTGTTACGAGAATCCTCTTTATTTAACAGCTTAGATGATATATGCGGAGGTAAGTAATTTTTTAAAGTCAAGGACAAAGAATTAGAAAAATATAAGACCCAAACAATGACTACCAGCCAATATGTACATACTTTATTTGTTTATAGAAAATGGTTTTTTACTTGGAGACAGCGCTTATCCCTGCATGAAACGTTTGATGGTACCTTACAAAGACAACGGTCATCTTACACGAGCACAAAGAAACTTCAATCAGAAGTTAAGTTCTTGTCGTGTCATCATCGAAAATGCATTTGGTTGCTTAAAACAACGATTCCGTCAACTGTACCATTTAAAATTGAGAAATATGATTCGAATTGTTCAAGTCATCCACGCATGCTGTGTGCTGCATAATATAGCAAACGAAAACGATTTGAGACTATTCGAAGATCCAATTGCAGATGATTATCCTGATGACGAAGCAAGACATTTTCCAATTAACGACAACATTGAAATAGAAGATAATTGTGAAAAACGATATCTTAGAAATGAAATATGCCGTCAACTAGCTATGCGATAAATATATACAAAAGACAACAATATACAATAAGAAAATGTGTATTAATCTTGTATATTCATGTATTTTATAATCATGTACTTTAATATAAAAATAAGATTTATTACAATAAAATATTATACTTTTAACATTTTTATCACATTTTTGTAACTAAAAATAAAAAGAAAATCATATATTTTAATGTGAATATAAAATTCATCACAACCACAATACTTATTACTAGACATGAGACTTAGAGTAAATTTTTGTCAAATTGCTTGTTACATTCTTTTAACTTCTGCTAAAAAAAAAATCTTTTGCTAAATAAAAAAAATCTTTTGCTAAATAAAAAAAATCGTTTGCTAAATAAAAAAATCTTGCTAAATACAAAATATTTTGAATGTAACATTATTTTGAATGTAACATTATTTTATGTAACTTTATAACTTTTAATGTTTATGAACTTCATTGCGTTTGCAAGTTAAAATCACAGTCGTAATAAAATTAAAAAATCATATAACTACATGTTGCCCGTCCTCTTCCTGTTTTTTTATTGTTTGACACCATATTCTTATATGCTCGTTCCATCGTCTTAAATTTGTTTTCAACTTGTAGCGGAAATACATTATATCCAGACTTTGTCATTGTATTAGCGATATGAATCCACATTGCTTTTAATGTTTTCAACTTCCTGGACGAAACAAGTTTTCTATTTTCTTGATATAAAGATAAAAAATATCTGGTAGATTCATCATTCCATGAAAATGAAGAATCAGTATCATGATTCTTTTTAATTATGGCAGATTCATTTGTTGTTGCTGAAGTGGATGATTCATCAGTAGTGTCAATATTTGAGGCATTGTTTGCTTTATCATTTAAATTATCTAATTCAATCTGATACAACTCGTCCTCAACTGGGCAGATCATTGCATTAGCGTCCAATAATAATGAATTCTTAGAAATAAACTTCAATCCATCTAAACAATTTAAATATACCAAAAAATGTAAAGCAATTATTATAAATACTGAAACACACAATTATTTCATTTGTCACAATAAAAAAATAATAAAATTGAATAATAATAAAATAAAAATCTTGATTTGAAAAATAAAGTACCAGTTTTAATAATAATTAAAATTGCAATTAAATTAGCCATATTGAATAATTTGTATTGAATAATATATATTCTCACCTTTGGATGTGCAGAGAATATTATTGTCACCGTCGACAATAAAATTTCCTTTGGAATCTTGAGCAATGTTTGCAAATTTTCTTTTTGCATATTGAACAGCTAAAATATGAAACAGAAAATATTATTAAAAATGTTATTAATGATCTCATGTTATGAATATCTCTTAACATCATAAAAGCATTCATTTTAATAATGTAATACATTAGCTATTTTATAAAGGTTTATTACCGGTAAATATTTCTTCAGAATTATGTTCAGGTCTCGTTGGTGTTAATCATATGTAGGTTATATTTCGCGGGAATCGTAGGTATACACTTTTCACACCTCCTCAAGACCAAGTGTAAAAAGTATAGGGAAATCGCCACTATAGTGTAGCTACACTCGCAAAACGAACAGCGTACTCTGACGTCACTTCTTCTAAAAGAAACGTGATAGTGTACACTTTCTACAAAAGTGGAGAAAGTGTAGGTAAAACGAACAAACCTTATATATCGAGAAAGATACATTTTAAAATTCGCGCATCTCCGAGGACAGGGGTAAGCGCTATATCGATTGACCGAGTGCGCAGGTCAATCAATAGATCCGAAGATTATAAGAAGGGATTCCTCTCGTTCTCCTCTCGACCTCCTTCGTTCCGAGGACTTGGATGTGAACACTGGTGAAAAGGACTTCAGCTCATAACACGTCCATCCCAGTACATCGACACAGCATTGGATTTGCAACAGTTCAAACTCCTGTCGTGGAGACATTTCAACCTCGGAGGAAATAAATAGATAAATTCATCGGTGATTACGAGCCATACGCGGTTGATGGTGCGTTGATCTCGTAAAAATTTAAGATTTCTACGAGATTTAAAATATGTGCACATAGACACCGATATTACTTGGTAACTACCAAGATTTTTGACACGGTATATTAATCTATAGGGGGGTAGAGAAGGTTCCGCGTTTGTTTATTCGTGTTTATCTCAAAAGTAATGAGATCACAAACCGTGTCAAAAATCTTGGTAGCTACCAAGTAATATCGGTGGCTATGTGCACATATTTTAAATCTCGTAGAAATCTTAAATTTTTACGAGATCAACGCACCGTCAACCGCGTATGGCTCGTAATCGCCGATGAATTTATCTATTTATTTGTTAGTATCACGAGCCAATAATTTCTTTAAAGTTTATTTAATTTTTATTCTAATTATAGTGACTTTAGAAGCTTTTTTAAAACACGATTTTACCGAAGATACGTTTGGTGAAACTACTTATATTTCATCAGTAGGAACGGAAACGTTCTGAGGGCCCAAATTTTCAAGAACCAAATTTATCTGTACAACTACCATTGAAAAATTTTGAAGAAGTGACTCTTCTTCATGATCATATAAGTGACAACGAGAATTTTTCTGAATTGGTATGCTTTTCAAATGTTTTTAAAATATAATTGTCTAAAATATAATGTAAATGTCTTTATAAAGATTACATAAATAATTATATTTGTAGATATCATATTTTTCAACATTAGGAGGCCATGATGTAACTTCGAAAACAAACGCTATTTTAAGGAAGATTCTTACTAATGAAGTGGCATCTCACTATAGCTTTCTTGGTAGAACAAACAATAAGAAAGCATTTTCAACAATAAATTTAAATCGAGCAGTAATTAGTAAGTTTCTTTTATTTTCTTCTTATTTTGCTTTTTAATTTTTTTATTACAATTTTATTATATAAAATTTTAATTTAAGGAGCAGTTCAAATTGCAATACCACAAACATCAGAAGATGATGTAACTATTTGCATTAAAAACTGGTTAAAACATTCGCCTCAACGTCTTTCATTGCAATTAAAAAAACAAAATAATCAGTAAAGAAAAATTCTTTATTGGTGCAATTACGCTAATAATTTTCTTTTTTATTTGTTATTATTTTATTATATAATTTTTTTATATAATTATATTATTTTTATAATTATGTCTACATATAATAAGTGCAATCGTAAAAGCAAAAAATTCGTTACTAACAGACATTTATATCGAAGGGCAGAAAAAGAAGTTAATGAAATTGTTTCATATTTAAATTCAAACACTAAAAGTAAAATGCGGGAAGAAATAGTAGCAGAAACATCAAAAGAATTCGCGCAACTTGATAATCTCCCTACATGTAAATCTCCAATCATGGTTGACTATACTGATGCAGATTTATCGACATGTGATGTTTATAGTTATTGTTTTAATATATCTTCTGATTGTATTGAAGAAATAAATAATGATACTGCAGAATCTATACAAAATACACATACAAAACAAGAATCTGACAACTGCAGTTCAATTGTAGATGCTATAAGAATGTGGGCATTGACTCGAATGTTTCTCATGCATCGCGCGATTAGTTCATTACTTCGTATCTTACATTCATTTCACCCAGAACTGCCTCTTGATGTTAGAACGCTTTTGAAGACTTCGTCATTGAAATTTAATATCAAAGAATTGAAAAATGGACAATTTATTTATCTTGGCATTGAAAATGCATTAAAGACATATCTTTTTAAAAATTCTAATTTTTCGGAAGATATTATTAAACTTATTATCAATGTAGATGGACTATGCTTATTTAAAAGTTCTAGTATAAATTTGTGGCCAATTTTAGGAATGGTGCAAAATTCTGTTCGGAAACCATTTGTGATTGGAATTTTTTGTGGAATATCGAAACCACAACCATTATCTGATTTTTTGGATGATTTTATAACTGAATTATCGCATTTGCTTACCAATGGCTTTCAATTAGCAAAAAAACATTATAAAGTACAGATTTGAGAAAATGTATTGTGCATGGTGATTATTATGTAAAAAAAGTAAAAGGAAAATTCTCGAACAAGACAGCTATGAAAGGAAAGGTAATACTAAAAAATGTGGACAAAGAGTTAAGAACAGACGAATCATTTCGATGTAAACGTGATGAGAGCATCATTTAAGCGATACACCTTTATTAAAATTAAATATTGGACTTGTCACTTGCTTTCCAATCGATTATATGCACAATGTATGCTTAAGGGTAACTTGCAAACTTTTAACTTGTTGGAGATTTGAGTGGAGATTTAAATGTACGATTATCAAGTCGCGAAATAAATACCATTTCTGAAAAAATGGTTGCATTAAAAAAGTATTTTCCGCAAGAAATAAATAGAAAACCTAGGCCACTAAGTGAAATTGCGCGTTTTAAGGCAACTGAATTTCGTTCTTTTTTATTATATTTAGGGCCAGTTGTGCTTGCAGAAACTTTAAACGTTTCATTTTATGAACATTTTCTACTTTTTCATTTCTCTATAGTTATTTTGTGTTCTGACAAACACATATTAAATCACAGTTGTGAATTAGTTTCTAAAATGCTGAAGACTTTTGTAAAACATTGTGAACATTTATACAGTCCTGAATTTATGGTGTACAATGTTCACTCTCTCCATACATTTACCAACTGATGTAGAAAAGTGCGGACAACTTGATAACTTTTCTGCTTTTCCTTTCGAAAATTTTCTAGGACAGTTATCGCGACTTGTAAAATCTCCTAAAGAACCATTAGTACAACTTTGTAATAGAATTGCAGAATATGATTTATTGGAAGACAAAACAAATGATACACAGATATATCCCAAATTAGAAAGAGAGCATTGCGTTGGACCAATACCAAATATATTAACATCGTTTTCTGCCCAGTACCAAAAAGTTTATTTTAAAGATTTTATGTTAAAAATTTGTTTACATTCTGAAGCTGATTGTTATTGCCTTATTAAATCAAATGTTGTTCAAATACATAATTTTATTAAATTAAAAGATGAAGGAACTATCGTAGTAGGAAAAATGTTTACTAAATATGGTTCATTATATAATTATTTATTTTATTCACAAGAATTAGATATTTTTGTTGTTGAACAACTATCTGATTTAAAAATGTGGCAATTAAATTATATAGACATTAAATGTTTAGTTTTTCCTCATAAAGAAAAATATATTTCTTTTCCTTTATTACATACAAATCATTATTAGAAATCATTTATAATTTATCCCAGCAAACACAAAGTACCCAGTAAACATCGAAATCTTGTAGAAATCTAAAAGATATCTCATTAAAGAAATCTTTAAGATATTTCTAAAAGATATCCAGGAGATATCTAAAAGATGTCTAAAAATACTTTATTCAAGATTTCTTTGTAGAATTTCTAAAAGATACCTTTAAATATCTGAAAAGACATTTTAAATTATATCTTTAACATATTATGTAATATACATATTAAAGATATCTAAATAATTTCTTTTAAAAGATGTCTTTAATGTATTTTTAAAAGATATCTATTATACATCACATGTTAAAGACATCTTAAAACAAATTTTTAAAAGATTTTTAATAGACATATATTAAATTAAATTATAAAAATAATAATACTATATATATTATTTTATTATAATTAAAGAACTAGTGTTATATAATTTGAGTTATGCGGGATTACGCTTTCTAAATGTATTTGTATATTCCGCGGTTCCAAGCCGAACTTTCTCTATTATTTTTGCTGCCGACGGGCGACGGGCGACCGCATGGGCGACGGGTGAGGAGAACGAAAGCGTAATTTTGATTAAATAAGGTAATCTCTTTTATCTTGTATGTAAATTCTTTTTTTAAAGATATATAAAGTATTATGAAAAATATTTTTATAACATTTTATTATAATATAATATGTGTGACACAAAATATTCTGCAAGTTTGAGGTTAATTGTAAGACATGACAAATTAAGAATTTATTTAGGCATTTTATGCAAAAAAGATGTAATGATATATAATGACAAAATTAACTTAATGTGTATCTGTATATCGTCGTTGCATCTTAATGTAGACTACTGTAGACAGATCAAAAATTTGATATGCAATGGTGTGTTTTCTGTTTACATTAATATACAACGATGATATGCAAATATACATTAAGTTTAATCGGCTATTATATCATTACATTTTTTTGCATTAAATGCCTAAATTAATTATTATTTTGCCATCTGCTTACAAGTAACCTCGAACTTGTAGCAGAATACATTACTCCGTTACATTATTGAGTAATGTTATCAGTAATGCTATATAATTTAATCTTTGTATCTTTTCAGGAAGCAAAGTTTAAATATGAAGAACAAACAAGTTGCTGTACATATTGAGAATGTCACACATGCAAAGTCCTTGTGGTCCAGTCTTAGCGATTTTATTCAAGTTTTTCTTCATATCGAATAATTGAGTTCAGACAGCGAAGAGTTCAGGTATACAAATTCTTCTTATTATCATTGTGTTTCCAAGCAAACTTAATAATTAAAATATTTAAGATTTTATTCCAAATGTAATTCATTTAAGTACAAATTGATATTTAATTTTTTGCATAAAATTTTAATTACTGTAATTAAATTTTAAAGCAAAAATAAGATATTTTAAAGTACTATCTGTTACTTGATAACGATAATTATCACGAATCGTGATAAAAAGAAATTTAAGAAAATATGAAACATAAAATTATTAAAATTAATTTTATTAAAATATTGTTATTGAATTTAAAAAATATTGATTTGAATATTTTTTAGTTCAACACTAATTGTAAGTAGCATCGATCTCGAATTGTAGATCGTGTAAAGTAGGCTTAATATTCAGTATTGATTATATTGCATTTTAAAAAGATGTAACGCGGTTATTAATTGAATATTGTACGTATTGTATTTAATATACAGAGTTAGCACACACACACACACACGACGCACGCACGCGCGCGCGCGCGCGCGTGTGTTTGTGTGTGTGTGGTGTGTATCAGCGTTCTCTAGAAGTGTAAACATACATCAAATATCTTGAAAACAATCACTTATAACAAAATGTTTATAAAATAACAAAATTGTACGACTTGAATAAATATGTAACAAAAATTCTAATTGTGGTAAAAATTTCAAGTTTTTTATTTGTATTAAATTAAATTATTTTATTTATATATATTAAATTAAAAGTTGCTGTTTGTGTAAGTTGCTGTTGGAGATACCTTAAAAGATAAATCCGTGCTGGAAAATGAATAAAATAATGTAGCATACTACTAATGTTGATAATGTTAAATGTTTAACATACTACTAATTTAAATAATGTTAAATGTTTAACATACTACTAATTTAAATAATGTTAAATGTTATAATTAATATTTTTAAATAAATTTAACATTAATTGCTACATTATTTTTTATTTGTCTAGTATAGATTTATTTTCTAAGATATTTTTAATTGCAACTTACGCAAGCAGTACCTTTTAATTCCTAAACGTTTTAAAGAGATTTAGGAGATATTTTTAAGATATCTAAAAGATATATTTAAGACATCTCAATCATAACGTGAAAATATTTTAAACGGTATCTGCATAATATCTTTAAAATATCTTGAAGATGTCTTAATATATACTTTCCGGATATCTTAAAGAAGTCTTGTGGACATCTTAAAATGACATATAATATGTCTTTTAGATTTCTACTAGATATCTTCAAGACATCTTTAGATATCTGAAAGATATCTCAAAATGTTGCGTAAGACATCTTTTAGATCCCTAAAAGATTTCTTTTCTGGATTTCTGGAAGATGTCGCAAGATATAGCGAGATATCTTTTAGAAATATAAAAGATATCTTTTTGTCTATCTGGGTAACAATTACATAACATCAATGTTACAATTTCCCACTCAATAATATAACTGTAACGTACAAGCCATGTTATATTGCAGTTATATTGTTGAGTGGAAAATTGTAACATTGATGTTATGTAATTATTACTTTGTGTTTGCTGGGATTATAGTTAGAAAACTATATGTTTTAATTTTGTTAAACAAATAATAGATATATATTAAATATTGTGTATTTCTTTTGTATGAATAATATAAAATATATTAAAACATAATACTCGTATATTGCGTTTTTTATTTAATTATTTCATACAACTGACGTAGTTATATAATAAAACGTTCAAAAAAAGTTCCTAAGACGTATAAAAAAACGTCATTTTTACGTAACTTATCGACGTCATATGACGTTGCAAAAATGACGTCAATAGACTGTGACATAATGACGTTATAAGTACATCGAAATGACGTCGAATTTATGTTACTAATAACGTTTGCGGACCGAAAAATGCGCGTCATTTTGACGTCACCTTGTTAGCTGGGCAATTTGCGATAGAGAGATGAAACTTTCGTTGAGGAAAGATATAGATTTTAAAATCAATGCATTCAAACAACTAGCACAGTTCTGAAACATTCTACATAACAAAGTTCAAGTGTCTTATTATCTTTTGTAGACTCAATAAGAATAGGAACATAAAGCAAGAACGAGAAGGAAACAAGGAAAAGATTATACAGGAATCAAGAAATATGTTAAATTCTTATCTAAATATTATACTAAACATCCTTATAAATTAAAATATTTTAATGTTCTCTTTTAAAAACAAACTTTTTTATATAAATAAATAAAATTAAAATTTAGCAATTTAAAATATGTACATAATCTTTTTTTTTAGTTAATATAAATATTATCACATTTTGCAGAATTAAAATTGAATTTCAATTATACATTTTATCATTATGCATCCTTCAATATTTATTAATATATCCTTGTTAAATTTGTCTTTTTTTTCAAGAAGAAGCAAAGTTACTTTTTTGTTTTCTAAAAAAAACAAATGTAGTAACCTACAAATAATACGAGATATCAGTTGTGCTCATAAAAAGTATAAATTAATACAAAAGCTAACATCAAAGTTTAATTATTATATATTGATCATATTGTTGCAGCAGTTGAGATAAAAAACAATTATTTGCATAATTCATAAAATAAATGCAAAAATAAAAATGATTTCACAAGAAAAAAAAGACATTGCAAAAAATGAGAATTTAAAAGAAATTACCAATACAGATTTATTTACACATAAAGAAATTTTAGAGGATGTTGTTGAAAACGATACAACTTTGTAAACAACTTTTTATTTTATTAATATTCGCATATTATTTTATAAAGAAGCATACTTTATATAGGATTGCTTAAAATTATAAAACACACACATATATTTGATACAATTTTATAATTTATAATTTTATAATTTATTTATAAAAACACATTTTAGATATTACTTAAGAAAATTACGTTTCATAATCAGGATGTATTAATTTCGTACACATATGCACGTACATATATGCACATATACACAATTTTTAATTTAGATACATTAATTTGTATAATTTTGTTAATAACAAATTATCTATTTTTTTTATTTTCAAATAAGCTTTATATTGTAAATATTATTTTTTATTTTACAGTGGAATAACAGATTACGTGAGTTCAATCTTTACAATAAAATCATATGAAAAGAATGACAAAAAATGGGATGTTTTTAACTTCATTTTAAGTACCGGTGAAACTACTATACAAGTTACTGCTTGGAATAATTTGGCTTTTAAATATGCAAGTTTAATAACTGAGACAGAACGGGTAAGACATTTATTTGTATACACACTTTTTAATAATATTATCATATATCAATTTTTTAAAACACTTTGCAAACTTCAATCATTATTGTGTATTATAAATATACTTTTAATACTATATTTGACTAAGTACATTGAATTTATTGAAATTTCAATTTAATCTATCTATACAAAAGCAATAAATAATTTTTTTATATATTTGTACTCACTGCTGTTTATTTTAGCATTTAAATTTGTTTTATAATTTTTATTTGTTAAAATGCGACATCAAGATATTACGTGTGAGCAAATTTCTTCTATTGCTGCAGAATGGTTAAAACATGCGAAACAAAGAGAACAAAGAAAATTTGAGTAAGTTTAAAAGTCAATAAAAAGTTTCTCTTACCAAATATGTTGAGCAGGTAGATTGTTCGAACTGAAAATCTTCTTGAGCGTAAAACCTGATATCTTGCCACGCAGGTAAGCGATCGCTCTCGACGACCGATTGCTTCTTCTTCTTCTTCACGGTTTAATGGCCTATAAACCAGACTTGGCTTTTCCTTGCCGGCCACAAGTTCTGATTAGGTCCACAATGGACCAAAAAGGAAAAAAAATTTTTCAAACGAAACACGTCTGAACACGTCGACGAACGCCAACGGACTCGGACGATTGCTCAAACGGCTTTTTCCGAATATGCAGTGGATACGATTTTAATTCACGATATTCGCGCGACGTATAATAAGTAATAAATGAAAATCACGACAAACTTTTCCGAAAAATTACTTATTGAAGAGACACACGGTACGCGTCTTATTCGTATAAGACTCTGACCGGTTATTCGATTACGTACGTAATGTGCCACGAGGTTTTTCGTCAAAGAATATAGACGAGTATAGAAGCACGGTTCTCGGTACCCCGCGGGCTGGGGTACTTTGCTATAGTTTACGTCAGGTCATCGAATTTCGATTCGCTACCACCATTCGAGAGACGAAAGACTAGGTTTAGTTTAGGCCTAGTGTACACCAACCATAAGAGTATCAAATGTTATGTTCGTACTAAATGTATGAGCTCCATTAACTTAGCCGGTCAACTTCGACTTTTTAATTTTTTTTTTAAATCATTTGTTTATATATTTTTTTTAATTAAAAAAAAATTAGCATTAAGTTTGTCGGAAAAATTTCATTTTTAATAAAAAAACGGTCTAATCGATGCATAATCGTTTGTTGATGATTGTTGGTTTAATTTTATTGTTTGTTGGTTTATTATTAGTCTTAAAAACGAAAAATTATCACATTGAGGTTGCATCTACAGGGGGTCGATTGTGTAATTTTTTCTAAAGTAAAAATGTGAAAAGTGAAAAATTTCTTCCAATCACACATCGATTTTATTTTAAAATCAATGCGTGATTGGTGGAAATTTTTCACTTTTCACGTTTTCACTTTAGAAAAAGTTACACAATCGACCCCCAGAAATCGAATATTATGATTTTGGTTTATTGCTTACGATTTAAGGCTTATTTCTATAAATGTAAGGCTAACGCTATGAATACGAGCCTTAAGGGGTAATAACATCTAGTCCGAAGGCAAAAATCATAGGCTGTTTTTGTGAATTTTTTGTGACGTTGCTACTGAATCGATCAATGTGAAATTTTCAGGGCTGAATATACTTGTCCTGGAGTGCAAAAATATATTTTTTATTTTCAGTTTTATTACAAAATGGCGGCTCAGCAGCGCGCGGAAAGAGAGTCGAATTTTTGTGAGGCGTCCCGCAGCTAACAGCAGAAGTCCCCAACGAATGTATCTGGAACAATGAAAAAAATGTTTTCATAATCTATACGAGTATAGCTAGTGAAGTACACACGATTTTTAGAATCGATAAACAATTACGATTTTTATAAACAAATACAGGCCGAGTTTTTAGTCTCGAAAAATCGTTTTTTTGTTCACAGTGCTGCCAAATTTGCAAAAATCAATATTTCGTAATATCCATGTGTACTTCACTAGCTATACTCCTTAGAACATATATTTCTAAGCTATACTCGTATAGATTATGAAAACATTTTTTTCATTGTTCCAGATACATTCGTTGGGGACTTCTGCTGCTAGCCGCCGAACACCTCACAAAAATTCGACTCTCTTTTGCGCGCTGCTAAGCCGCCATTTTGTAATAAAACTGAAAATAAAAAATATATTTTTGCACCCCAGGACAAGTATATTCAGCTTTGAAAATTTCACATTGATCGATTCAGTAGCAACGTCACAAAAAATTCACAAAAACAGCCTATGATTTTTGCCTTCGGACTAGATGTTACCCCTTAACATCGGCAGAAAATTGAAAATATTTATTTTCTTCTCTAATAGTAAGTTGAAATGATAAATTGCAAAATGTGAGATATTAATTATTAGACAAAGAATAAACTTGTATTTATATCTTTTTGTATAAGCGCAGCACTTTCGCATAAGCGCATAAACATATGCATAAAAAATTTGATTGGTTGAATTTCTTATGCATATATTTATAGACTTATGCGCTTATGCAAAAATATGTGCTCCCCGCTTAAGGTAGTTCTATCATTTTTCACATTCTTACGAATTTTTAGAAATATTAATATGTTGTAGACGGAGTTAATATCTATCGATTACGAAATTTTGAAGTCGATTCACCGTTTAGTTTAACAGTTATTTACAATTAAAAATAGCATTTTTTCTATACACCACGTGAAAGGATGACATTTTTATCACATTTTAATATATAACAATAGAACGGATCTTACGATTTTAATAAAAAACCAGTGGAGTATACAGTATGAGTGTGGGATTATTTAAAAAAAAATAAATTTTTTCCACCGTTTAGTTTCAAAGATATTACTTTTTAAAGAAATGAATTTTTTTCCAAACGGAACATGGAGAGAAATTGCGATAATGATGTGTATTCATACATGAGCTGTTTCTATGTGAAGAGGTTCAGACTGTACAGACTCAACTAAAATTGTTGCTACGGTAACATTGTATAAACGATGAATTTCCTTATCGATTAGAGGCGAAACTTTTAGTTGATATTGTAGCGATAGAACTACTTTAACACTAGATAGCGTATACTACGAAAAAAATGAGAAAAACGTGTTACGATTTGAAGGTCCGACGGCGATTTTCAGATACAGTAAAATATGCACTTTTTGGTGTATGAAATTAGCACATCAACATAAAAGTTTCGAACTTCAGGATGTTATTCATTTAAATTAAAATATAAACTATATATATTTAACTTTATTTTTTATTCAAATAGATAACATAAATAGTAAATTGAAAATGCGTATAAAATTTCATAAAATAATTAAACGTATTAATATATTTATATTTATAAATATAGAATAAATAAATAAAAATATATAAAATAATATTGTTTCGTATATGTTATTTTGCGTGTAAATCTCGGGTGAATCTTCCTCGAGCAACGCAAACGAGGTATCGACCTCTCGTTGATTTATCTTGCAGCAATGGATTCTTAGAATGTAATGGTACAGGTGTCAGACACCAAGTTAAGTCTACACTGCTTTATTGTCAGTATCTTATATATAACAACGTTTCGAATCGAAGTCGGCAAAGCAAGTCCTACCACTTGTGACCGCGGTCCGAACTCCTTATTTCCCCCAAAATTTCCAGATCAACCAGTGATCTCAGGTTATTGATTTAATGATAAGCTCTCACATACCGAGTTGAACAATTGAGAATAACATCGTATTGAATTATTAAGGAAAGTCGATGTGTACAGATAATATAAGCATGTAAAATACAATACGAAATAATAAATATGTACAGAGTGATATATATACCGCAGATGAAATAATACGAAGTACTTGAGATATGAAAAATATTGACATGAGAGAGCAATTGGAACGATACAATTGAAGAAATAAGCTAAGAAATAAATACATTCAGAATTTAATAATACGCAAATAAATGACATCGAAACAAATATATATATAGAAAAATGCATAAAATACATAATTTGTAAATAAAATAATTTTTTAATAAAAATAAAATTTTTTTAAAATTAATAGTAATAATCAAAAGCCAGGCTAAACGAGCAAAAAAATTTTTTCAGATGTAAGATTAATATTATTTATTACATTGACATTTAAGTAAACGTTTCAACCGTACTCGGTCCTTTTCAATACATGTTAATATAATTAAATAAACATTAAATTAAAACATAAAACCTTAGGTATAAGTCTAATAATATAAAAGTCAATTTTAAATATCAAACATATTCCGCCGATTAGAAATTGCTTACACATTATTCCGTTGCGTTTAAAGTTAATAACGATATTTGAAACAATAAATCTCTTAGATTACAAAGCTTATCTTTAATGGAACTCTCTTTTGGCAAAATGTCCAAATTACAAAATTCGTCGCTGGTCAGCGCGAACATACTAGTCTGGCATCTTTGCAAAATGAGACCATTTTCCAACCTTTTTTCTTTTAATTTGATCACCCCTTATATTGAAAAAGGAAAGATTTTTTATTTTTTATTTATTTATTCCCGAATAATAGAAATAATAAATTATTAAATTATTTACATATTCAATTTCAGTGTCGCTTGTTAGGTCTCAACAAAACAATAGTTCAATGTGTGTCTTTGTTATAAATTTGTCTGTTTATATAGTCAACTCTATTGTCTAAAATTCAAGGTTAATTTCTTTAAAAATGTTTATGATAATTCTTCGAGAATATCAAAATAACTGTTTTCCAATAATTCTGTGTCCTTATTCAGATTAATACAATTTTTATGTTCTTTTATATGTAACATTTCCGATATAAGTCTCTTACTATAATTAGGTTCTTGATCTAAAATTTCGGTTCTGTCCCAGTCGAATGTGTGACTATTTTTTTAAAATATGTTCAGAGACTACTGAGTGTTTATCCGAATTTAATTTGATGTTATTTCTATGTTCTTTAATTCTAGTTCTTAATTGTCTTTTTGTTTATCCTATATACATTGCGTCATACAGTCATTGCAATTTATTTTATAAACTACATTTGAATTGTTAAGACCTTCATTTTTATCTTTTTGCGTTTTGATCCATGTCTAATTTTTTTACGCAACGAAATCCTACTTTTATATTAGATTTTTTAATATTTGCTGATATTAATTCTGAGATAGATTCAATATATGGGATAACCACAAAATTATTTTTCTCTTTACTATCATTAGGACAGATTTCGGCCTGTTTGTCCATTACTTTCAATTTACCAAAAATCAGGTTCTTGATTCTACTGTTTATTACATTAAATATTAAATCAAGCGGATAGCTATTCAATAATAAATCATTTACAATCATTATTAAATTTTTTTTTGTGAAGTTGAGGATGCAACAACAATAATGATCTGTCCACCAAGCTATATATAGTGCCTATTTTATGGCATTTCGGGTGATTAGAGTGAAATGATAAAAATCTACCCGAAAATGTCTCCTTACGGAACCAGTCCATATGTATCACATCCTCAATCACAATAATAGATATGTCTAAAAAATTGATTCTTCAATTATTTTCATGTTCTATCGTAAATTTTAATCTTTTATGATACTTGTTAAATTTTTCTACTATATCTAGTACATTATCCGAGTTCGTCGTTAACAATATATCGTCAACATATCTAAAATAAAAAGTCAAATTCCACTGTGATGCGTTAATAATTGATGTTTCTAGATCTTGTAACACTAAATCCGCAATAATTGAAGAAAGAGGAGATCCCATCGGAGCTCCGTAAATTTCTTCATATTTCTTATTGTTAAAATTGAAATATGTGGAAGGTAGTATAAATTTGATAACTTTTAAAAATTCCTCTTTTGGAATTTCCGTCTGTGATTCAATATAATGCCATCTATTATTAACGCATTCCATTGCAAGGTCCACAGGGACATTAATAAATAAAGAAACCACGTCCAATGAAACTATTATGTTTCCGCTATTTAGAATTTTACCAGACAGCGCACTGCACAATTCAAAACTATTATTTACAAAGCTATTGGCTTTC